TTTTAAAAAAAACTATTTTTTTATTTTACCAGGTAAGGCCAACTGAGCTACATCGCTCTTTGTCAGAAGCGACCTGTGCATCACAAATGATAGCCCGACGAAGTGGCTTATCGCGTGGAAGTGTATAGTCGCAGCCAAATACTCTAAACGCGTGTTTCTAAAATATATAGCAGGAGCCAGGGTCGGGATCGAACCCACCAACCTCCTGTATACCAAGCGAGGTAGTTAATATCTCCTAGCCACCGTGGTGATGAGAGAGAGAGACGCGCAAACTCCAAATATACAGCAGGCGTCAGGGTTGGGATCAAACCCACGATCTCCTGTATACCAGGCGAGGTAGTTAACATCTCCTAGCCACCGTGACGATAACGAGAGAGAGAGACACGCAAACCGAAATATACAGCAGCAGGCGCCAGGATCGGGATCGAACCCACGACCTCCTGCATACCAGGCGAGGTAGTTAACATCTCCTAGCCACCGTGACGATGATGATGATGATGAGAGAGAGACACGCAAACCGAAATATACAGCAGCAGGCGCCAGGATCGGGATCGAACCCACGACCTCCTGCATACCAGCCGAGGTAGTTAACATATCCCGGCCACCGTGATGATGATGATGAGAGAGACACGCAAACCGAAATATACAGCAGCAGGCGCCAGGATCGGGATCGAACCCACGAACCTCCTGCATACCAGGCGAGGTAGTCAACATCTCCCGGCCATCATCGAGCCATCCAAGTCGAGCGGCACGCGGTGCGGCAGGCAGAGACGGAGGAAGAAGCAGCGAGCCTGGTAGAGTGAGCTCATTGGCAATGCCGTAGGCACCGGGGTGTTGACGTGACAGGGCTGCGGTAGTAGCAATACAAGAGTAGCGAGGGGGTGACTGAACGGTGGCGCCACACAGTGCCGGATTATTCTGGTAGCAAAAGTAGCTGCATATGTAGGAGCTACTACATATGTAGTAGCTACTACATATGCAGTAGCTACGGGCCCCGCACTTTCAAGGGCCCCGCGCTAAATGCTTTCAAGCTATCAATTCCGGTTCAGTGATTCTGCACTTGCTCTATCACTATAGTACTATACCGCCTTCAACTTTCATGAACGACCGGGTGTTTAAGGTTAGCGATTTGTCGTATTATCTGTCTGTATAGCAAATGAAAAAGATACAATGACTTCAGTAAAACAATTCGTGTGTTTTAATCTTTACGCGTTTTATTTTTTTTGTTATTTAGGGCCCCTTTATAGCATCATGCTACAGGACCCGCTCTCGCTTCATCCGGCTCTGGCACGACAGGGAGCGTGATTAATCGGTGAGCACAGAAAGCAGCGACCGACAGAGCTGCTCTGTCGGGCACAGCCGGATAAGAAAAAATAACTAAACAGGAGCGAGACTTGTCAGATTTGACATTCGCTCGGGGTTGTGTTTGTACTGCTAAGCGAGAAATCCGAGTGACGCTCGATTAATAGATACGTCAACAAATGAAGATTGGCTTGCTTGGCTTTACGGTTCACTGGGAGAGAAAATAAAAGAATGACCTCTTCCCTGCATTTGGTTGACAAACGTATTTCGAAAGAGGCGCTCGTCATATCAAACGACGTTCATCTGCGGGGATTACAGAGACGTGCAGGGGGCTATAGCCCGGGGGATAGAGAGAGAGAGAGAGAGCTCGCTCGCTCGCACGGGACAATCTTATCAACGTCTGTTTATATAGAATTAACACTTCAGAATAGGCGTCGTCAAAACGTGTGGCATTTTGTACAAAAGCGGAGAGAAATTGTAGAGATGCGATCGCTTTCATGACGGCGACACGCGCGAGGAGAGGGGTTGTGGTTGGAGGGTTTACGGTGGTGGAAATGAAACAGACGTCGTTCGAATAGACGTTGTTTCTCCTCCTCCTCCTCGTATTTTGCCCAAATGTATTCCGAACTGAGATTCAAGAATCCACGAGGAGCACTCCGTGTCGACCAGCGCAGCCTCCGTGCCAAGGGAAGACGGCTACGCAGACGCGGACTCGACAAACAAACGCAACCACTTTGATCACCTTCAAGGAATTTATGGGGCGCCTTAACCAATGCGCTTTACGCAGAACGAACGAGGTCAAAGCAACGCGTGTGGAAATGCGGACGACGGCGATGATGTGAATGGAATCGACGATAGAGGAAGCAATGGGGGGGAGGGGGGGGGGTGGGGGCACATCTGTGACGAGTCGTGAATTTGGCGAAAGCGACATTGATGAGAGTAGGGTTAAATTTTGATTTAAAGCTTTCGTGACTGCAGTAATTCATATTCTTAGTTTTTTCGGTAAAGTCACGTTGAAAACGTGGTGTGCATTTGTGTAACGTGACTTTACCGAAAAAACTAAGAATATGAGAGTAGGGTTTTTCCCCTTTTATCTGGCACCAAAGGTGTTAATTTGCTGAAACACCATGCATATATTGTCAGAGTAATGTTTTTTGTGTTTCGCATTCTGACCACGAGCATTGTGGTTATTGCAGTAACATGATTCCTTGTAAAAGGTTTCAGTTTGGTGTTTTAACAACTTAACACAGCTGTTTTGTTGCCAGAAAAAAGGGGGAAAAAAAACCTATTCTCATATTTTGGTACTGGCAAAGGAGGTCCCATGATGTAAAACAAACTAATTTGGTTCCTGGGTAGTAAGTGTTATTTCCTAATTGCTCATGCCTAAAAAGTACAGAACATGGCTATTCCCACAAATTTAGCTTTTGTGACCAGGACTGTGATCTTTTGAAATGTACCTATTTTCAATGAGAAAACGTGGTGTGCACTTGTGTAATTCCTTCACGTAAAGTCCCGGTGACAAAAGGAAAGTTCGTGGGGAATAATAGCCATTTTCTATACTTTTTAAGCATAAGCAATCAAAAAAAATAACACTTCCTACCCAGGGACAAAAAATCGTGTTGCATCGTGTTTTTGGCGTAATTATCTGCCCTTGGGGAGAAAAAGGTGGCCTGCTAGTTGTGCGACCACTTGGAGGGAGTAGGCACTAAAAACCCCATCCAGATCTGCTACGTAGAAATATTCATTGTCACGGCAGTCGGTCCAACGATTTTAAAATATATATATAAAATCCTTAGAGCTCACTTAAGCAGATCAAAAACTATTCATGATATGATGCTGACCAGGCTAAGACAACCAACTCAACCACATTGGGTAAGCCAGGGAACTCTCCTGAAAAAGACACGCTACACTGACATATCTTGAGTTCACACTCGGTTAAACAAAATACACTTGAATCCTCAACCCGATTCAAACCCAATATCCCAGTGATCCCTGGTTCAGCCATGTGATTCCCCCACATCCTCAAAGGGAACTTACATCTATCAAACGATGATGATGATGATTATAGTGGTGATGATGATAGCACTAAATCTTTACATTGGTGTCATTGTAATGACAACTCCTTGTGTCGGTTCATGGCCCATCGTATTCAAACCCTTAAATGGCAATTGCATAAATATCAGTCAGGTCTGCTTGAGGATTCCCCCCTCACACGCACACATACACACGCACACACAAACATACACACCAACATTATGTTCAAATGAGTTTGTGCACCGATGCCTGGCTGTGGTAGAGGGAGAGAAAGTCAACAATAAATAATCATGCCGCTGTATTTATTCAAAGGCCACTCTGTTAATTTGATTTGCGGCGGAAAGCGAACAATTTAACCTTCTTTTAATTAACAGTTTTCCGATAGATTTCCCTCCCGTGGCTCTTAGGCAATTAACAGATTTTGTGTGTATGTGGCGAACGTCATCGATTGCTCATTTCACTGTGGCCGCGCGTGACCTCACAAAGACAAAGATTGCCCGGACAGGGGCCTTGCGCGAATTGTCCGGGGCAAGGTATAGCCGGTAGGCCGCCTTTGTCTCCCCCGGGGCGAATTATGATGATGATTGCTATTACGCCCAATAAATCATCGAAGGCTGAGTCGACCCAGGCACTGGTTCAGATATTCGCCGGCTGCTGAATTGGTGTTGGCCCTGAGAATGAATCAAACTCGGGCTGCTGGGTTCGGAGCGCAGCGCGCTCACCGCTCCACCACCGCTCACTCCACACACACACACACGTACACACACATGCACACGTACACACACACGTACACACACACACGTACACACACATGCACACGTACACACACACACGTACACACACACGTACACACACACACACACGTACACACACATGCACACGTACACAAATGCACACACACATGCATGCACACACACACGTACACACGTACACACACATGCACACGTACACACATGCATGCACACGCACACACGTAAACACGTGCGTACACACGCACACACACGTACACACACACGTACACACACACGTACACGTACACACACGTACACACACACGTACACACGTACACACACACGTACACACACACACGGACACACACACGTACACACAACACACGTATACACACACACGTACACACAACACACGTATACACACACACGTACACACACATGCACACGTACACACACACACACGTACACACACACACGTACACACACACGTACACACACACACGTACACACACATGCACACGTACACAAATGCACACACACATGCATGCACACAAACACACGTATACACGTACACACACATGCACACGTACACACAAATGCACACACATGCATGCACACACACACGTAAACACGTGCGTACACACGCACACACACGTACACACACACGTACACACACACGTACACACACACACACGTACACACGGACAAACACACGTACACACACACACACGTACACACACACACACACGTACACACAACACACACGTACACACGTACACACACGTACACACACCACACAAACACACGTACACACACACACGTACACACACGTACACACACGTACACACACACACACACGTACACACACACGTACACACACACACACGTACACACAACACACACGCAGCACGCCACAGCCAGACGTGAGCTCACACGAGGGCGCTGACGTAATGCGGCTCCTGCTCGTGCACGAAGGGCCGGTTGTCCTCGAAGCCCCCGCACGACCTCTGCTGGCTGCAGGCGAAATAAACACCCACACCACGGCCTTCGTCAGTCAACATCATCATCATCAACATCACCACCACGGCCTTCGTCAGTCAACATCATCATCATCATCACCATCCACACCACGGCCTTCGTCAGTCAACATCATCATCATCATCACCACCACGGCCTTCGTCAGTCAACATCATCATCATCACCACGGCCTTCATCAGTCAACAACATCATCATCACCATCCACACCACGGCCTTCGTCAGTCAACATCATCATCACCACGGCCTTCGTCAGTCAACATCATCATCACCATCCACACCACGGCCTTCATCAGTCAACAACATCATCACCATCCACACCACGGCCTTCGTCAGTCAACATCATCATCACCATCCACACCACGGCCTTCGTCAGTCAACATCACCATCATCAACATCCACACCACGGCCTTCGTCAGTCATCATCATCACCACCATCCACACCACGGCCTTCGTCAGTCAACATCATCATCACCACGGCCTTCATCAGTCAACAACATCATCATCACCATCCACACCACGGCCTTCGTCAGTCAACATCATCACTATCACCACCACGGCCTTCGTCAGTCAAAATCATCATCACCATCACCACCACGGCCTTCGTCAGTCAACATCATCATCACCATCCACACCACGGCCTTCGTCAGTCAACATCATCATCACCATCCACATCACGGCCTTCGTCAGTCAACATCATCATCACCATCCACACCACGGCCTTCGTCAGTCAACATCATCATCATCATCACCACCATCCACACCACGGCCTTCGTCAGTCAACATCATTATCACCACGGCCTTCATCAGTCAACAACATCATCATCATCACCATCCACACCACGGCCTTCGTCAGTCATCATCATCATCATGATCATCACCACCACGGCCTTCGTCAGTCAACATCATAATCATCACCATCCACACCACGGCCTTCGTCAGTCAACATCATCATCATCATCCACACCACAGCCTTCGTCAGTCATCATCATCATCCACACCACGGTCTTCGTCAGTCAACATCATCATCATCATCACCACGGCCTTCGTCAGTCAACATCATCACCATCCACACCACGGCCTTCGTCAGTCAACATCATCATCACCATCCTCACCACGGCCTTCGTCAGTCATCATCATCATCATCACCACCACGGCCTTCGTCAGTCAACATCATCATCACCATCCACACCATGGCCTTCGTCAGTCAACATCATCACTATCACCACCACGGCCTTCGTCAGTCAACATCATCATCATCACCATCCACACCACGGCCTTCGTCAGTCAACATCATCATCACCACGGCCTTCATCAGTCAACAACATCATCATCACCATCCACACCACGGCCTTCGTCAGTTAACATCATCACTATCACCACCACAACCTTCGTCAGTCAACATCATCATCACCATCACCACCACGGCCTTCGTCAGTCAACATCATCATCACCATCCACACCACGGCCTTCGTCAGTCAACATCATCATCACCATCCACACCACGGCCTTCGTCAGTTAACATCATCACTATCACCACCACGGCCTTCGTCAGTCAACATCATCATCACCATCACCACCACGGCCTTCGTCAGTCAACATCATCATCACCATCCACACCACGACCTTCGTCAGTCAACATCATCATCACCATCCACACCACGGCCTTCGTCAGTCAACATCATCATCACCATCCACACCACGGCCTTCGTCAGTCAACATCATCATCATCATCACCATCCACACCACGGCCTTCGTCAGTCAACATCATCATCATCATCACCACCATCCACACCACGGCCTTCGTCAGTCAACATCATCATCACCACGGCCTTCATCAGTCAACAACATCATCATCATCACCATCCACACCACGGCCTTCGTCAGTCATCATCATCATCATGATCATCACCACCACGGCCTTCGTCAGTCAACATCATCATCATCACCATCCACACCACGGCCTTCGTCAGTCAACATCATCATCATCATCATCCACACCACAGCCTTCATCAGTTATCATCATCATCATCCACACCAAAGTCACCACCATCATTGCCATCGACATCACAGCCTTCACACCTTGCGACTCCATCGCAGTTACATTCATCATCATCATCACCCCCCCCAGTAATAACCGCGTGTGTGCACTACGTGATGAACAAAAACGAGAGTTGCATCATCACAATGAGCACAGGATCCACTGCTGGATGGCGACCTCCCCCCCAAAGCCGTCGCCACCTGGCTATGCGCACGCGAGCGGATTCCGCTACTCCATCTCTCTTCACGCTCCCTCTGTGATGCGTCCCATAACTTCGGTTTACACGATGGGCGCCTCGAGGCTCCCGTCACAATACGGTGATGGAGATTCTTCACACATGGACCCCTAATGGATTAGGGGACGGGGACGGGGAGGCGGCGTCTGCCCTGTGCTGTCGTTGTAGCCACGAACCTCGGCGAGCCGAGTTCGATTCCCGCTCGCGGCCAACGTCAGCGACGATTGTCTGAGCCGGTCATGGGGCCTCCTCCCTAGGTGGACTCAGCCTCAAATGAGTGCCTGGCGCGGCGTGTAAACATCGCCGCTGGGGAGACGAAGGCGGCCGGGCGTCGTGCTGGCCACCCTCCCACTCGTGTGCCGTGCCGGCCTTCGTCGGTGCTCCTCGCTAACAGCGCTTGCCCCAACATTCTGTCTGTTCAGTCTATACGGGGGATCTTTCTAGATTTTTGTTCATTCCATTTCATTGCTGCGGTGCATGGATCATTCTGACATCGCTCTCGGAGTGACAGCACTCTGCTGACGGAACCCCACCAACACCACCAACACCACCAACCCCACCAACACCACCAACCCCACCAACACCACCAACACCACCAACCCCACCAACACCACTAACACCACCAACCCCACCAACACCACCAACACCACCAACCCCACCAACCCCACCAACACCACCAACACCACCAACACCACCAAACCCACCAACACCACCAACCCCACCAACACCACCAACCCCACCAACACCACCAACCCCACCAACACCACCACCAACACCACCAACACCACCAACCCCACCAACACCACCAACACCACCAACACCAACACCACCAACCCCACCAACACCACCAACACCACCAACCCCACCAACACCACCAACACCATCAACCCCACCAACACCACCAACCCCACCAACACCACCAACACCACCAACACCACCACCACCAACACCACCAACCCCACCAACACCACCAACACCACCAACACCACCAACACCACCACCACATTTGCCCAAAAACAGCCATTTCGGCAACAGCCAGATCTGATGTAGTCGCTATTGACGGCGACGCTGACGATCCATCTCCACCACGCCACCACGAACGGCAGCGTGACTGACCACTCGCACGGTCGGTCCCGGCTATCGGTTGTTGTTGTTGTTGTTGTTTTCCACGCAACTTTCTGTTTGTAGGTGGCGTTGTGTCGCCACTTTGGAAGGGTTTGGCCAGAGATCAATCGAGGACATTTTTGGTACCGCGTTTTGGGCAACTGAGAAAATGGGAGGCGTCTTTCTGGCTTCGCTTTTGCGCAAAGGGCAGCAGCGGTTTGGGGCGCTTGGGTCGATTCGATTTTGGTCATCGGCCAGCACGGAGTAGCAGCCTGAACGGAGTTGAGCCACTTGCTTGCGACTTGCCTGGGTCAGGGATTTTTCGTCGTCCGCTATGGATGGGGGCCAACCCCCCCCTCCCCCCAAGCACGACATTGGGCTATCGGTTCCGGAGCCACGAACGCATCGCGCGTCAACTCCATCCAGGTCGTCATCCTCGCAGCAGTAGCAGCGGTGGCTGCAGCAACAGCTGCGGCTGCAGCAGTAGCAGCTGCAGCAGCAGCTGCAGCAGCAGTAGCAGCAGCGGCGGCTGCAGCAGCAGCAGCAGTATCAGCAGCAGCTGCAGCAGCAGCGGCAGTAGCAGCAGTAGCAGCAGTGGCAGCAGCGGCAGTAGCAGCAGTAGCAGCGGTAGCAGCAGTAGCAGCAGCAGTAGCAGCAGCGGCGGCGGCGGCGGAGGAGGAGGAGGCTTCTGGCTGCTGGGCCATCGAACCAAGTCGGCGGTCACCGCAATCGCGCGGCGCTTTCGGGTGCGCTGCTTCTGCGGCCCGTCTGGAACGCTCTTCCCTTCCGATATTAGGAAGCCATTTGGTGTGGGGGGAGCTGTGCACTTTTTCAAATAATCCAGATTGTAAACTCGTTTCTTCAGAGCTGCGTTTTGTGTTTAGTTTGTCGGTGCTGCTGTTCTTCTTCTCCCGCGCCTCCGAGTCGCGCGGTTGGCTTACGCACGGCGCGAAAGAAGTTTCAACATACGCGCGTGCGTGCATGCAAACGCTGCACGGTCACCTTTTGCCGAGAGTGTAGTTCGGCGCCAATTGTCAGCAGAGGGCAGCGATGTACGCGCGGTCATCTCCCGTCCAGGCACGGCCCACCTGAAGACGATTGCTTGTGTTGCGATCGAAACGTCGTGATGATATTATTTCGATTGTTTGTTCGACCTGCGTGGCTTTACCCGAAAAAAACCCCAAAGAACCAGGATTAGGAGATCAAAGGAGATTTGGCGAATCCCGGGTCATTGGGTCAAGGGACAGCTGGGAAGGTTAAGGCCGCAACAAATAACGGGGGGAGGGGGGGTGGGGGGGGTGGGTAGAGCTCAGAGTTCAGAGGTCAGAGGGATGCGCTGGTCGACGGTTTTAGCCCCTGGCCACTTTTGAATATAGGAGAAAAGAATAAATAACCATCGCAACTTCAAAGTTGGTTCCACAATTTCGCTGGTCAAATCGCATCTCTGAGGATATGTGAATTTAAAAAAAAATAGTTTTGACTATCATGTGGCAGCAGTGCAGGTGAGAAAGTGCTGCAGTTCAGAGGCCCCCTAAAAACGAATCGCATGGGAATTTCCACAAATGTCACAAACGTGTAAACTAAAACTATTTTTATTTTATTTTACCGCGTTAAGGCCCACTGCGCTATACAGCTCTTTTTAAGAAGCGGCCTGGCCACAAATGATAGCTCAACGAAGTGGCTTACCACGTGGAAATTTTGAGGAGTCAAATACTGCACGTTCATATCTAAATGTGGAGGGATAAACTGGAGGACTCGGAAAAAAATCCACGCGACCACGGGGAGAGAGAGAGAGAGACACGTGCAAACTCCAAATATACAGCAGGCGTCATGGTCGGAATCGGGGTCGGGATCGAACCCACGACCGCCTGTATACCAGGCAAGGTAGTTAACATCTCGCCACCACGGCGCCCTGTCTGAGTGCCACGAGCAGCAGAAAAAAAACATGAATCTGTCAGCAGGGCCAGCTGGGAAGTGCTGCCCCCTAACGTGCAGGTCAGAGGTCACTCGAAGGCATCGCAAACATTCGTATGTATGTTGAACTTATTTCGCACCGTACGTAGCCAACCGTGCTAATCGGAGGTTTCCCTGTGACCTTCGCTGACGAGGGTCGCCGTCCACCACGGCCGACTGGCCTTCTCTGCGGTGGATCCCGATGGGCGGTGGCGACCACTTCTTCTCTCGCTCACGATGCGCGACACAACGATAGCACCACTGGGATTAAAAAACCCCGAAGGGCCGACAGCAAACCTTGAACAGGAGAAGCAAGGACGCCGCGTCGGGTTTTTTTGGGGGGGATTCGCACGATAATTAGGGGCGCCGTGGTGGTTAGGAGATGTTAACTACCTCGCCTGCTACACAGCAGGTCGTGAGTTCGATCCCGACCCTGACGCCTGCTCTATATTTGGAGTTTGCGTCTCTCTCTCTTCCCGTGGTGGTGTGGATTTTTCTCGGGGTCCTCCGGTTTTTCCCTCCACATTCAGGGACATGAGTTTGGAGAATTGGGCTGCTGTAAATTTCCACGTGATGATGAGTCACTTCGTTGCGCTATTATTTGTGATAGCCAGGTCGCTCCTGAAAAAGAGCTACATAGCTCAGTGAGCCTTACCTGGTAAAGAAAATTGTTTAGTAAAACAAAATAAGGGTTAGGTCCATAATCGGGTTCTCCGGTCTTTCCCTTCACAAATAGAATCAACATCACGCGTTTAGACTATTTGGCCGCTCTACATTTGCACGTGATAAGCCACTTCGTTGAGCTATCGTATATGGCCATGTCGCTTCTAAAATATATTTTTCTAGCTCAGTGAGCCTAAATCTGGTAACATAAAACATTAGTTAATAGTAAAAAAAAGAATAGTTAGGTCCCTAATCGTAACACATCTTTACGCTACAATTTAATTGACATTGAATCATCTTGACGATAGTCATCGTGACCCCGTGTTACAGACGCACACAAACGAAGTCGGACACGGGCAATGCATTAGCACTTTCCCCTGGAAAGAAAATAGCTATATAGGTCGGAGGGCTTTACCGAGGAACCCAAAACAAGTCACGATATATACACAAAACAAATGTGAGTCAGCGCCAGGAGTTTAACCTCCTCCGACGTGGAGAGTTTCTCTCATTCATCATCTGTAAAGCAGCGTCGTAGCCCAAGAGAGGGCTTTCCTTGGGGCTCGATGTTCCTCCCCCCCGCCCCCCCTTGCATCAAATCGATGGCGCCTCTGGGCGCACATTCTCTGATAATGCGATGAGGGAGGGCGGTGAACCGACTGAGTTACCGTTTGGTAATAAAAGAGAATGAGGTAATGATCGCTCGTGGAATTATTCGTTACCTCACCAAACAAATGACCACGGTTCCATTAGGTAGGTTAGAAATTGCGCTCTTGCCGGTGCGAGGCATGACCCCAATTTCCGTGATAAATAAAATACAATTAATATGAATTGCTATTATTCACCGCTCACGGCGCGTCGGCCGAATCTGCACTTGAATGAGGAATATTTGTAGCGGGTGACATTTGCTGGAATTTACTTTTATTCAATTATGCAAGCCCATAAAATATTCATCAGGCTCTCCCAGGCTCTCATTAAATGGAGTCTGACATCCAAAATAGAACACTCGGAGAGAGAGAAAGAGAGAGAGAGAAAAAAAGTATATTCTCTCCGCGTCCTCTCGATGCCTCCGAATCACTCCTCACGCACCCTAGCCCCTGCAGCCAGCTCTCACGCCACGGAGGTGCGTGAGAGCTTCACCGTTTCATCATCAAACTTCTTCCGCTTCGCTCCACGGCCTTATGGGACGCGTGAGGTCTGATCGATTCCTTCACAGATATCCCCTTGCAGCCGCTCTTTCCGCTCCCTCTCTGTCCATCGCTGCCTCTTGCAGCCGAGAGGACCTCCGTCACCGGCCCCGGTGTTCGATGTTTTCTGACGTCCGTTCACATCTTGGTCTCCCTCTGATTCCCCAATCACCTTCCGTGGGGGTTTCCTCCATCAGCGTCGTCCTCTTGCGATCGGTCACCACTCATCCTGGTCACGTGTCCGCATTGTTTCTTGAATGCAACGGCGCAGCTCTGAAATTGCTTGATCACGTCACTGCTGGCAGAACTTCCTCCACGAGAGGGCGCTCTACTGGCTCTCTGTAGAGGTCATTTCGGGCTACCCTTCCACCCCGGCTAGACGTCTTGGAAAAGGTGCAAAAGTTGCAAGTACCCCACGCTTTAGCACCACCGCACTCGACCTGCCGATCGACTCGCTGCGGTACGTAACCATTAAATACTGCCGGGTGGACAGGGAGGGCTTTAATAAATCTGCCCCATTGTTTCAACTGCTGCTCCACAGGGAAATCGAACCGGTTGACCTCTGGATTGCAAGCCCCAGCGCGCTAACCGCTGCACCACGCCAGCGAAACGCGGCCGTTGCGTGAACGCGAGTTCGCTCGAGATAACGCGCGGCTGACTGACAATTCTATTACGCGGAATCGCCTCTCGGAATCGCGGCATCTTGACGCCCATCGGCCTCCGATCGCATCTCCCGCTGTCGGCGCTTCGTGCGCGCGGACCCAACAAAACGCAGAGGAGAGGGCTGCATGCAAACCGCGAGTTTGCACTGAACACAAAAGACAAAGATCCCCCGTGTACCCTTCGACAGACCGGTCGGGGCAAGTGCTGTTCGTGAGCGCTAATGAAGGCCGGCACGGCGCACGACAGGGCGTGGTGTGATTCACACCACGCCCGGCCACCTTTGCTCTAATTTATATTTGCATCATTTTGCTGTTACTTTATTTTATCGGATTTGCATTTCGTCACTTTGCTGAACCAGGTCACTCTTGCGAATGAGACTCATCCTGGTCTCTAAATTCCTCGCCTGGTTCAACAAAAATTTACTTGAACACTATAATAGGATAGTGGTCACCCAAAAAGTATTGGTTGCATCAGGCACCCCAAAAATATTTTCTGCTCGGTTCACCCAATTTTGATGGCAGCTACCACTGACTGGCTCCGCCCCTGACTTGAGGCTCGGCTACATTTCGACCCTCTATAATTTTTTGTTGATTGTCGTCATGGTTGCTGACGTAAGCTAGTGAAGAAATAAATCAAGCTGCGTTTACTCGATTGTTAGCAGCTCCTCCTTGCTCGTCGAGGGGTCAGTGCTTTATAGCTCATCGGATTCCTCCAGCATAAATACATTTGCCGATTATTATAGCAGGCAAACTGTAACCTCGTGGTTTTAACAATTCGGGAAAACGTTGTGCGGTTTAATTTTCGTCAACGGTGTGTACTGTGCTTTCTGCATTTCCGTGTGGACCGATGACCTTCGTCTAACATCTACAGGGGTCTTGCCGCGTGGTGTGATGCCCTCCTTCTCAGCTGACGTGCAGCGGCAAGGCCCCGGGTTCGGAATTGTAGGCGAGAAGCTCACTAGTCGCGAGCGATGGCAGACGAACGCTCCTCCTCCGTGCCGTTCGGTGGCCGATTCATCCCGCCACCTTACCGCTCTCCCCTCTCCATTGGTCGCGGAAGTGCAGCGCGGCAGCAGACTACCGACGCACCCTGGATCACCGAACCACCCACGCACCCACCCTGGCCCACCGACCCACCCACGCACCCACCCGGACCCACCGACCCACCCACGCACCCACCCTGGCCCACCCACCCACCCACGCACCCACCCGGACCCACCAACCCACCCACGCACCCACCCGGACCCACCGACCCACCCACGCACCCACCCTGGCCCACCCACCCACCCTGGCTCACCCACCAACCCACGCACCCACCCTGGCTCACCCACCCACCCACGCACCCGGACCCACCCGGACCCACCCACGCACCCACCCGGACCCACCGACCCACCCACGCACCCACCCTGGCCCACCCACCCACCCTGGCTCACCCATCCATCCACGCACCCACCCTGGCTCACCCACCCACCCACCCACCCTGGCCCACCCACCCTCCCACGCACCCCCCCTGGCCCACCCACCCACCCACGCACCCCCCCTGGCCCACCGACCCACCCACGCACTCCCCCTGGCTCACCGAAGATCGAGCCAGCTCGAGAATGACTACCGTGGAGTGAAACCGGTGAAGCAGCACTGGGAATGGTTCGCACACACCGGAGCTGACCGCTCCGATCACTTTTCATTAGCAAACTAAGTTCGCGTAGGCCTCATTGACACAGATCATCCCCCCCCCCTTGCCCCCCCCCGCCCCGCTCTCAAACCCCCCACACTCCCTCCCATCAAGCCCGGATAATCCGGAGCAAGACTGCGCCAATCCGTTCCGTGTTCTTCTTTTTGTGCCCTGAACTCAGCGGCGTGAAGCGCCGAGAAGCGAGGAGGGGTGGAGTGTCCCACAGGCGTCACATTGGATCAGGATCCCCGTCCTTAGCGGGGGGGGGGGGGGGGGGGGGGGGGGTAGGTGGGGGGCTGCGTGGAACAGCACTTACTTGTCTGTGGGGACATTGTCATTCTCCTCCACGTGCAGGCTGCGTCTCAGCCGTTTCACCTCCTCCTGCACGCACGCACGCAAAGGCAAAGACAAAGATCACCCGCGTAGCCTTTAACGGACTGTTGGGGCAAGCGTTGTTCGCCAGCAGCAAACTACTAAGGCCCGCCGCGGCACACGAAAGCGGCGGTGTGGCCAGAATCCACGCCCGGCCGCCTTTGTCTCCCCAGCGACGAAGGTTCACCCAAGGCTGAGCCGACCCCGGGGGAGGTCCGGGTTCCGGTTCAGATATTTGCCACTGAGATTGGTCGTGATCGGGAATCGAACTCGGGGTGAGCAACTACGCACAACCCTCCCGTCAGATTCAGTAGGGCTCTCTCGCTCTCTCTCTCTCGAGACGCGCCGACGTGTGGCTGAACTTCTTTCGTGCCGTACGTAGCCAACCGCGCCAATCGCAGGTGCGTGGGGACGGCCAAACACAAACTAAGCACGCAACAACAACAACGACAACAACAAAGACGCACAGAGATCTCAAGGGCATCGAAGGACAACATCGGAGGCACCGGGGCTGAAGTGGTTCGTGAAGCCCCCGGGTGTGTTTGTGGTGAAGCGGCGTCAGCTTCACGGCTCTCTGGACCTGAGCGTGCCTGCAAGACTTGCAGGGTACTTAAGAAAAAAAATCAAAAACAAGGATGTGAATACTTCTGAGAAGTTTGCAACAATAACCACGAGAAGTGTGCCTTCCGGGGGGGGGGGCGGAGGGGGGGGGGGGGCCTCTGGAGATCACGTGGAGAGGATCCCAGGCACGCGTTGGCAATGGTGACGAACAAGAGGAGACTCTTTTGACTTCTCTTTCTGTGACCAGTCACAAGCTAATCACTCAGCTATTTCAATGCTAAATTCTCCTGTTTTATATGCAAACCCCTTTGTCAAGGTGCCTCACTCCTCTAAACCAGCTTAAAAAGACGCTACGAATCTTAACAACGTTCATTGAAGCTCTGTCGTCCCGACGGGTCTGTTCCTTTCACCTGAAGGAGGCCACTTGTGTTGTAGCCGAAACGTCGTGAGAATTGTATCGTTTCATCTTATTATATTATTTTATTCTCATTCTACGTGACTTTACCGAAAGAACCAAAGAAGATGAATCCTTGCAGTCACGAAAGCTTTAAATCGAAAATTAAATCGAAATTTTGAAAGTTATTAACATTAAATTTCGATTTAAAGCTTTCGTGACTGCAAGGATTCATCTTCTTTGGTTCCTTCGGTAAAGTCACCACGTAGAATGAGAATAAAATAACAAGGCCACTTGTGTTGTGGCCGAAACGTCGTGAGAATTTTATTGTTTTATTTTATTATATTATTTTATTCTCATTCTACGTGACTTTACCGCAAGAACCAAAGCAGGTTATTAACATTACATTTGTTATCACGTCGAAGTGTTATTATTCTTATCCGTTATTTTTCCATTAAAAAAACGATAGTCCCATTTAAGTGTTGACAGTTTTTTTTTTTAAGCGCCCTGTATATATATTAAACCTTCAACGATGCGATGCCAAGATTTCACTCTCTCAATATCGGTTTCCCTTAACGCTCTAAACACCGCACGGTTTTTTTCTGTTTTATCGGCGCCGTGGTTTTTATTTCTTCCCCCACCTGCTCGCATAAAAAAGTACGGACGCGTCGTTTAAAGGTGCTAATGAAGAATTTCTGAAACGACAATTTCGAGCTCTCAACGTCACCGCAACGTCACGTGACGCGCGACGTCACAAAGGCAGTACGACGACTCCCACCGACGGCGTTGAACTTCACTCGCACCGTGCGCCGCCAACGGAGCTCACCGGAGGTGCGCGTGACGGTGACCGGATTTGTTTCAACCTCGACTTGAGGTTTGTACAGGGTGCTCCAGATGTCTTGTGACACCCCTCCCCCCCCCCGCCGCCCGCCCCCCCCAATTAAGTTGACCCCTAACGTGTTTTCCTTTTCCCCTTTTACCTTTGCAGATTAATTAAATAGACCTTGCTTTAAAAAAAAAAGTTAACTTTTAGAGAATGAAATGGTGGTCGGTCACAAGACATCTGGACCACCCTGTTCATTCAAAAACGTACGTTCAAAAAGGTTTGGGTGAATCGAGCGCAGTGAAGGTCTCTGATTGACGCTTTCTAGTCCCAGGCCTTCCGATATTGGGAAGCCACTGGCGCAATCCACTTGTGAATCGCCTCGATTGAAAACTCCCTTCTTCAGAACTGCTTGTGTTGTCCCTCCCTCGCGCGCCCCCGATTAGCACGGTTGGCTACGCACGGTGCGTAAGGAGTTCAACACACGGACAGGAGGTCGTGGGTTCGATAGCGACCCTGACGCCCGCTGTATATTTGGAGTTTCCATGTCACTCTTACGGTGGTCACGTGGAGTGTTCTCTCCGGGTCCTACGGCTGTTCCCTCTACATTTATCAACATGCGCTGTATGTACGTAGGTGACATTTCTTTCACACAGTGGGTAGCCACGCGTGCTAATTGGAAGTTCGGAATTGGTTAGAGTATTTCGCTGCTATATAATTTCCATATGTTCTTTGGTTCTTTCGGTAAAGTCACGTAGAATGAGAATAAAATAATAAATTGATAAAATAAAATAACACAATAATATTATTGTGTTATTTTATTTTATCAATTTATTATTTTAATAATATTATTGTGTTATTTTATTTTATCAATTTATTATTTTATTCTCATTCTACGTGACTTTACTGAAAGAACCAAAGAAGATGAATCCTTGCAGTCACGAAAGCTTTAAATCGAAATTTCCATATGGTAAGCCACTTCGTTGAGCAATCATGTGTTACCTGGTTGCTTGTGAAACAGAGCTGTATGGCTCAGCGTGCCTTATATAAATGTGTCGTTAAACCCGCCACCACCCGACACAGCAATTGGTAAGGTTTGGCTGTTAGATTTGGCTGTCGCCTGATTAAGCTTGTTGACTTCATTGGCGAAACGTCGTACTCAGATTGTAAATGTTGTGGCTTGGCTCTCCAACACACCAATGTGCTGTACAGCGACGAATTGGCACGTTCTGTTCACGTGACAAACCTTACTAGTTGGCTGTGTCGGGTGGTGGCGGGTTTAACGACACATTAATATTTTTACGCGATCTAACCCCAAAAAAACCTCCTGTATTATGAATGATATTGATCACGAAAGTCTGCGTGTTAAACTAAAATAGTTTAGTTTAGTGCCCACTGTTAATTTTTCAATATTAAACCTATTAATAATGTACAGCTCCTTTGTCAACCCACTGCTGGATGAAGGCCTCCCCACGCCGTGTCGGATATGGGGGTGGGGTGGGGGGTTGTTTGACCATACTTCACCGCGCCAGCCAGTGCTTTGTTGGTGGAGGTAAGCACGCAGGATCAGTGCTGATATCGCATGCCACTGATGTTAGCCGTGACCAGGGAGTAGCCGTGCATCGCCAGTGGCCAGGAATTCAACTCAGGTAACCAGGTTGCGTAGCCGCAGTGCGCAAACTATTGTACCACCGCTCCACCAGTATATAAATAATTGAATATAACATTCCTGGATTAAAAACACACGCAGTGCAAATATTTACCAAATTCTAATGCTACATCCCCCACCCCCCACACACGTTAGTTTTACTGCATCTCATTTCACTCTAAATGCGCACTTCGGAAACCGCAGCGAATTTATGTCAGGATCTCTTTGCCTTTCCCTTACTTGAGACAAAAAAAAACCGAAACGTAATAGATCACAGCAGAAGAAATATACGGCTACGTGCAGGAACACATAACAGAAACGTTTGCGGACGAGGTGGAGGCGGGGGGAGAGACTCTGCACTCCTCCGATACCGATCGGGGCCACGTGGGGTGATGAAAAGGTCACATCTCAAGCGCGCGTTACCGCGGCCGCGACCCTTAGCCCGGAGGTCACCGTAACGACCGGTGGTGGGATTAGCCGTAAAGGGGGCCGCGCATCCCAGGCCCGGCCGTCTAACAGCTACCACCTCCAAGGGCATCGGTCGGTCGGAGCAGACGCGCGCTGCGCCAGAGACCTGGAACGGCCCAGCGGGTGAACACGGCAAGCAAACAGCGGTGGCACGCCGCTTGTCGCCCGGAGCGTCTCGTGGCCTCTGAATCCAGGGGCACCAGGGGCCGCCCTGGTTGAACACCGCGGGGTGTAAGTGACCATCAAAATACACGCCGACTGCATTACAGTGGACGAAAACATATCCCGTGGACGCAAGGGTAAAAGCCATTGCTAGAGCCAGCGCCAGGGTCCAGGTTTTAACAAAAAAAAAGTGAAAAAAAAATTATTCGTCAATTACAGAATTGGGAATCACACACTCTTCTTGCACGATCTCAGCAGGACCCTCCTGAAAGTGGCCTGAGTCTCATTAAGGCTATCCTGGGTGAAGGAAAGAAGGTGCACTCACAACAATAGTGCCGTTGTAGTATGCCATGCCAGCCTTAATAAGTGCTGCCTAAACAGCCCATGCCTCAGCAGTTTGCGTAGCTGCATGGAAATAATACAATGTCCCAGTCATTGTTAGCATCGGTAACAAGTGGTGCTCAGAATTAATAATTCGATGCGCCACTGGTCAATATTGTAAGCAGCGCAGTGTGAGTAACTTTTTAGGTTGTTTTTCGTATCAGAACTTGTCCTGCACCTCCACTAGGTCCGCTCGGCCGTAATTCACGGGCAACACCGTAGTCAGTCGATCGGTAGTTTTGCTTGTAGTGGGGTAAAGTGTGGGAATCTCTCCCCCCCCTCCCCTCCCCTCCATGCGAAAAGAGTGGGAAAAACGCGCTCTCGAGAGGGGGCTCTCTCGGACCCCCTCTAGCGGCAACCTTCCACCAGCAGTGGCGTCAGAGCGCAGCCTGCAGGGGCTGCGCTTTGACCTGCACGTGATTGAGCGACTTTCGCGTCCATGGGGGTGGGGGGGGGGAGGAGGGGCCACAGCGCCCATTCAAGGTTTAGAGAGCCCTGATTCATGTCCTCGTGGTTATCTTATGAAATGCGATTAATATTTCTTCATTGTGTCTGATCCCGTCTCTCTCTCT